AAACAAAGTAAAGAATTGGAGTATCATAGTTAAATTGTATTTATGTCGTTTATATTGATAAGCATAAGCATTCATCCTTGTTTATCTCCATAAGCATTCATCCTTGTTTATCTCTGTAATCGTGATGCATATATAGTGAGTTATTTCAAGTCTTGATGTGATGAAAGTAGATTATTTTCAGAGAGAAACAATTACTGAAAATGTGTTTTGAAGGCTGACAATAGCAGTTGCTGCTGTCATGACAACGTAGTTGGCCCTTGTAAACATATCTCTCAATCATCTTGATTATGATAGTTCTTTTTTTAAACTTTTGGTAATATGTATCTTTAAATCTATTAGAAGTGTTTAAATCATTGAAGTGTTAATACAATTATGATTGATCTTGTATATGTTTTCAGCCATTTCCTTTCTCATTTTATGATGTGTTAGAGCAAAGTCTACCTTTCTATAACTTGCCTAAGCGCAACGTGAGGCAGGCATCATCCCTGTTAAAGCCCTTACCGGTTCCTGATCTTCCAGTTCCCAAGAATGCAAAGCTGCTTGCTTGGGTTGGTGATGAGATTCTACCTCGCGAGAGTACAAAGGTCCTTAATCCTGGAACCATTCTCAATCTGTTGTCCATTGGCTTCAAATTTTACTTTATGATTGTTAATTCACAGGTACATTAGGTTTCTCATTCTTGCAATGCATTACCAGGTTTCAGTGTTTGATTCAGTTGTACAAGGTGGTGATGCCGTGTGGGAAGGACTTCGAGTTTACAATGGAAAGATATTTAAGCTCGAAGAGCATTTAGATAGGTTTGTGAAACCAAATCCTTAATGAATTCCCTTTATTATGAACTGCACTAGTATTAATCAAGACAGTTTCCAAGCAAAAGAAAAAAATCCAGACATTGTTGGCCTCACTCATTTCCCCTACTTATGATTGATTGTATGGGGAAAGATGAATGAATGAATGAATGACACATAGGCGAACTTTGGCTAGTCCTTGCTGCTAATGCCTATTGATTGCTTGAATTCTTCTTTTGGATCATTTTGCTAGGATGTTCGATTCTGCAAAGGCTCTGGCTTTCATTAAGGTTCCAACTCGCGACGAGGTGAGGATCTGCAGATAAATTTGAATTCATTCTCTCTGAAAATATCCATTTTATCGATTGAGCATTGTTTGATGGCCATTGCTCTTGCAACAAGTTAATTGGTTATTTTGTAGTAATATGTTTTAGCATCATTACAGATCAAAGAGGCTATCTTCAGAACGCTCAATGCCAATGGAATGTTCGACAATACACACATTCGATTAACACTTACTCGTGGGAAAAAGTTATGAAACATGTTGATAAAGAGTAATCAGCATAGTGGAGAAGAAAAAAAACTTTTTATATTATTGATCGGTGAAAGTACATCTTGCCTTTTTATAGGAAAAGTTAAGAGTAAGTATTCTATTAGAAATAAACTACCTAGTAGTTATCCTTATCTATTTAACTTTCTAAGAGTTAGTATTATATTAAATTACTAACTAACAAGACTTATCGCATGACCTACAAAACATTTTTACCTTCTCTCCATCTCTCTGGGCTAAAAATCTAGGATGTGTCTAGTTGGCCATTCATGAATTCTTAGTTTGGTCTTGAGATTTTCTCAACTAATATGCTATACTCACATCTTGTTCAGGTTACTTCTGGGATGAGCCCTGCATTTAATTGATATGGCTTCACTTTGATCGGTAAAGCGATGTTTAAGTCCTTTATATACTGGAGCGATATCGTAAGTTCTTATATCTATTGACACATGTATATTATATTCGCTGCAAATTCTTACCACACTTAGAATGTGCTGTCGTAGTGTATTTGTATAACATTCGAAATTCTTTTTGCAAGTATAGTAATATAGTATGTGCTATTGTGAGTTGTGGATTTTCAGCTGATACGCTTAATGTTTCCTGTGGAAAAAATGCAGTGCTTCCCGAATGGAAACCCCCGGTTTACGACAATGAGAGTGGTATAGAACTTGTTACGGCTACTACACGTCGCAATTCACCAAATGTAAGATTCTTGGAGTCTTTTCTTGCCACTATTTGCTACTTGCTACAAAATTTATGAGAACATGTGACGCCAGGTCTTGCTGTTGATTCTTGTGGGATGAAATGCTAGGTGTTTGTTCCGATTTAATAGTAATTTCCTTAACAAAATTTTATCTTCCTATAAACCAGCTGACTTTGAATAATTTTTCATCCCTTTCAGAATTTGGACTCTAAGATTCACCACAATAATCTTCTGAATAATATACTGCCAAAGGTATTGTCCTATGCAGGACTTCTATATGATTTTATGATAAATCTGAGAGCAGATAATTTTCTAATATCTGATGTACGATTTAAATACCTGTTTTCATTCTTTCATGCTAGTCAAGCAAGTTTTACCATCTTAAAATGCTTATGGCTGTATTATCAACTGACCAACCGTATTTTTCCAGAGGAACTGTATCAAATTTCGGATTTTCTTACTAGAAAACTGCAGTGGGCTTATTTTTCTCTAGGTCTGTTTATGGGTGTTTGTTCGGGTTAAGAGTGATTCGCGCCATATATTTACTGTTTCACGGCGAAGAAAATGTTGGTCGGACTAATGCCGTAAAGTTTTTTGTTCAACTATGTGGTCCAATGCAGGTAGAAGGGAATAATGCGATTGCCGATGATGCAATCATGCTTGACAAGGATGGTTACGTATCTGAATCAAATGTCACGAACATTGTAAGAATTAAGATCTTGCTGCAGTTTCTGGTTTTAGATCTATATGTTCGATTGGGAAAATTTAGGAACATTTAAACAGAGTATGGTACCAATATGCATCAATAATCTTCATCTTTGTTCTTGGTTAGTTGGCCATTCATCTCGGATAACTGATAATATTGATACAACGGAATATCCGAAGTGTATTTAGTTGCTAAAAGGATTTTATTTTCAAGTCATGTGCTTTAAAAGTTGAAAATCTATAAACTGAGAAACACTTTTCTGTTTCGTGTTGCAGTTTTTGGTCAAGAAAGGCCGTGTTTTGACGCCTCAAGCGGATTATTGTCTGCCAGGGATTACTCGAGCAACTGTAAGGTTCTTAAACATTTGATTTAGCTGTTACGTCCAGGCGGGTGACTATAACTTCCTGATCTCAAGGAAACAAACAACCACGAAATGTTGTTCGATATTTCATTCGACCAGAAATGATACAGTGATATGCGCCCCTTGCTGTTCGAATTTCAGGTCATGGAGCTTGTTGAAAAGGAAAACTTTGTCCTAGTGGAACGAAGAATTAGCTTATCCGAGTTCCATACAGCAGACGAGGTTTCCAGTTGTTTTTCAGTCAGAGTTTACATATATTTATAACTTGATTGTCAATATATCTTTTACATGTGTTTTGAGTTTGATGATAATGATGTTTTGCAGGTATGGACTACTGGAACAATGGGAGAACTCAGTCCGGTGAGTTAAACATACAGGCTGACTACTTAGATCCTCCTTTTCAATCTAGCTGATCGAATATTTCTTCAACAGGTCGTGAAAATCGACGGGCACATTATCGGTGATGGTAAAGTCGAGCCGGTTACTCGAAGATTGCAAAATGCTTATAAAATCCTGAAAGAAGACTCCGGAGTGGCAATACAGACCAACTCCCAAAAATGAATAACAAAAAGGTTCACTCTCTTTCGTATCCTTTCCCTGCTTAAAGAATTAAAACTTAGTTGCGGGAGAATTAAACATCTTAATGTTAGAAAAGGGGTTGGTTTATTTTCTGTTTGTTTCCATGGAAAATCTCGTTCCCCTCACACCAGGTTACCATTTTCGAAGTCGATGATCGTTGGAGAATAAGGATGCATGAACTTGTTTTAAAATTCTGCTGTTCCGTATGAAACTGAATGTGGAAAACTCGGATAAATAATGTTTCCCAACAAATTGTGAAAGCTCTTTAAGCCATCTGTAATGAACAAATGTCATCGGTGTTGAATTATATGTTCTTAACATGTTCACATTCATGGCTAAAATATTTTAATGTTTTATGGAATTTGTGAAAGTGTGTTTACATATGTGCATGTGTCTGTATATTCAAGTGAAGACCTCTGTAATGGACCGGTCCAGCCGGGATATTTGGCCACCACCGTGACTCGTAGGTGGAAGTATCGAACCGGAATAAGATTAAGAAAAAAGAAAGAAAGAACAACAAATGGATTCTAAACCTTGATTACAAGTTTATGTTTCGAATATAAGAGCTGGATTATACTGGAATCTTCATGGCTTTAACATTAACCCTAAAAAGAAAAGAGACGAACTCCCTCGTTTTGCATCTAGGCAGGTACAGACGCTTAATTTTATATTAATGAGTAAATTTTTAAAACTTTAGGGAAAAAATTTATAGAATTTGAGAGGAGGAAATAAATTTTTGATAAAAATATTTAAAAAATTAAAATGTATGATAATTTTAAATTTTTAAGAAGGGTGTTTGTTCCCATTCACCCCTCGGTTTCATTCTTGCATGTAAGGGTAAACATTTGATCGAATTGAGTTAGAAAATTTTAAGTTAATTAAGTTGAATCTTATTTTATAATTTAAACTTTATTTACAATTTTTCGAGTTAAGTTTATAAAATTCAAATCGAGTTGAATCATTCGAGTTTATATTTAAATTTAATTATAAATATTTATATTATTAGGATACCAATTGATTCTAATTTAAGCGGATTTCTATAAACATATATGATGGTATATATATATATATTTCTTCATATTTTTCATGTAATGTATATATATATATATAATGTAGAGTTAAGAAATTCGACTCGAATTTAAAATCAATCCATTAATTATTAAAAAAAATAAATTTTATTAAATAAATTTTATAATTTAAATTAATTTTTTTAATATTGAATAGGATAAAAAGTTTAAGTTTTTTCTTATTAAATCTAAGGAGTTTTGTTCACTCATACATTCATGTGGAAGCCTCTGATGCTTACATTACACGTCAGTAAAGCACAGGATTCAGTGTTGAGTAACGAATCCCATAAAGTGGCGCCTGGAAACTACTTGACATCCAAGGCAAATCAGCATCCAAAGATGAAAGAATTATCCAATTCTCAACTATAAAAAGCTTATCTCATACAAAAGTTGGCTGCACCCATAGCAGAGCTCAGTGCCCCTTTTTATTTAACTGCCTGTCTCTGCAACTTATTACCTTCCAATTCGCTCTGTATTTTTCTCAGCTTTCCTCTCGCCAACTAAGAAGCTTTAAGCATGGCCGCCACCTCTCTCAAGCAACGTTCCCAGTTCTTGTTTGTGTTTGTTCTCGCCATTTTCTTGCTTTCTCATCCTGTTTACAGTGATGGTATTCTCTCTCTATATGTATATATAATATCTGAATATTATATTTGTTTGAAATTTGATGTTTACCATCTTTCCAACAGATGAGGCAGACCATCTACTTAAAGATCTCAACGATTTCAGGACATCGGTGAATCTGCCGGCATTCACCAAGAACAAAAACGCTCACTGCGTTGCCAAGAAAATCGTGGACGAAATGGACGACGACGACCATCCATGCACCAACCCCAACAGTTCATCGTCAGGCAACAAAGGAACCAGATTATCCGACTACCCGAGAGCCGTGTCCAAGTGCCACATCGATACCAACACCACGAGCGGTGTGGTCGTGCTGCCTGTCTGCGTGCCGAATCTGGTTCCGACGCTTGTTTTTACCAACTTCACTCGTACCCATTTCTCTAGATACATCAACGATTCGAGCCTCACCAGGATCGGAATCAGTTCCGAAGATGATTGGATTGTGGTGGTTCTTGCTTCTAACACCCACAGCGGGAGCCTCGCCAGTGGAGCCTATTCTTATGGATCAAGTTATTACGTGGTGTTTTTGCTGTTGGGTTTCGTTGCTCGTCTTAATTTGATGTGAACAATGCCTGGATTTCCATCTTATTTTTCTTCCGTTTTGTGATTTAATTGGCCTCTATCTTGTGGATTTCAATTTGTATGAAAATGTTTGCCCTGTATTCTTGCTGTTGTGTTTAAAATAATGTTTATAATCCATGATGTGGAATTATTAATTTAATTTTTGTAATATATTTTTATATTTTTTTGGTAGAATGAATGAATATAAGATAATATTTATTTTATAATTATCAATTATTTGACAATAAAATATTTATGTATTCTTACATATGTCATACTTAAATTCGTAATTTTAAAGAATAACAATAATATCTCAATTATTGACATTCGTACTTTATATCTTTTATTTAAATATTCATATTTTTATTAATTTAACTTTTAATTTTTAAAAATAGATTTGTAATTCATTAATTAAATAATAAGATTTTTTAAATATCTAATTTGATAATAATCATAGAGTTACTCTGGGATTTATTCCGGGAGCATCGTAATATACTGTACACATCTTATTCGGCGTTGGATCAATGTCCTTTGTATTATATGTTATTATGTCACTACACACTCGACACCCAACCTCCCGTACAGCTCAAAAGTCTCCATCTTCTTCTTCAACATGAGATTCATGGTAAGGAGAAGATTAAAATCGGTCTGGTTAACATAAATTCCAACGAAGAAATCGAATATAAATTGCCCGGTTCGGTCGTCAGCACTGTTCACGACCGTTTCGATCGTGTTCGCAGGGGAACAAAATGGGAGGATGTTTTCCCTGCTCAGAATTCGAGCCATCCAACGCCGTGTCTGGAGATTCCGATGCCGCCTCTGGAGGATTACGATGATCTCGACGTCGTGGTGGTGAAGCTTCTGTGCAAAGGGAAGACCGGGCGAAGTGGTCGAAGGATGTGTTTAGGCTTCAAGTTAATATGGTGGTGGCGAATGTATTGGTGGCGAGCGGTTGGGTGATGCCGGACATCAAATGGGTGGTGTATGTGGTGTTCGTCGGTAGTTGCGAGCCAGTGCCGTGTGCGGAGATCTGTTGAGGAAAGTGGATGACCATTGGGTGTATAAGCCTGAGTTGAGAAGGCTTAAACTAACGGTGCTTATGCCTCGAGGCTCTTGCGGTCTTGCCAAATTGCTCAGCCATATGGTGAAACAGGTAATTTATTTCCTAATTTCCTTATAATTTTTCAATCTACACATGATTTTGATTATTTAATTCTGATTAGCTTATTAATAGGTATAATATAGTGACTAGTTTATAATTTTTGAAAATTATAAGAGTAAATTGAGAAAGTATGAAATAATTTATTCATATTTGACTTTAAAATAATAAAAGAAAGATGATATGGACAAGTGACATGATAATTTGGTAATTGTCATGATTTTTAAAGGGTAAAATTATAATTATGTACTAAATGAATTTTATATTCATTTAATCCATATTTTAATAAGTGTACATACATGAGATAATTCTTATGTATTATCTAGAAAATTTCTTTCTCTTCTATATATACATGCCATGTGCTTTAAAAGAAAGTTATGTTTTCTTCCTTTTTCTTTATTTTTAGTCATTTTTTTTATTTTTGATTAAGGTATGAAATATAAAATTTATTTATATTAAATTTTTTATTATTTGATATGAATATTACATGGTTTTCATGCTTGAACCAATGATTTGATTGTTAGAGTGAAAGATGAACAAGTTGAATTTGATAATTTAAAGATAGACTTTTGTGTCAATGATGTTATAGAGTTGTTTTCAAGCTTGAATAATAATTTAAAATAAATTAAAAATGTTAAATGATGATTTGGTTAAGGTTAGGGTTTGTGGAAAAGAATGAATTTTGATTGTTTTGATATGAAATTGTTTGAGATTGTATGAAAATGATGGTAGGAACTCGAATTCATCCATATGTGTTTATTTGATAAGCTAATAGAATTATTAAATAAGCTAAGGATGCAAATTAGTGAAATTTGTTTAAATTGGTAATCTGAACAATAAGTTTATAAAATCATCATAAATTCTACAAGAATGATTAGAAAATGATTTTTATACCGTTGAATTCGTAAATCAATATAGTTTTGTTTAAAATAAACGATTATTGATGTAGAGAATTTCAAGGGGATTAATTCTCTATCTAATAGCTTAATCTAAAAATCAATCGAATAAGCGTAAAAAAATAAAATTATTACCTTGTAGCTATGGTGGTGCACGTTTTGGGCTGAAAGAAACTGAAAATTTCTGATTTTTTTAAATTAAAACATAATACACTTGATTTAATATAATATAAATGAATTTAAAATTCATTTAAGGTGAAATTATCATTTTACCCTTAATGAAACATGATAATTTCAAATTGCCATTGCATTATCATTCCTTTTAATATTCCAAAGTCAAATACGACCAAATAAAAATCCACTTTCCACCTTTGCCTTTACAAATTTTTAAAAATTGTAATTTAGTCACTACATTTTTCAATTTCAGCTAAATATGTAAAATCAAATTCAATTTCACTGATCTATATTAAATTTCAATGTTCTAAAATTTGGAAATAATATTTCCAACCTTTATATATCACCCTTCAAAATTTCGTAAAATTTCGGTTCAATCTGATTATCCGATTTTCTTTCAGATTTTACTGCTTTATAGCTTCTAAAACAAATTTCGAATCAAAATTCTGATTCTCACAAAAACGTCGTTCTTGGTGTTGAACTATTTATTTACGGGGTTAAAGTAGATAACTTTTAAAATTACTCTTTTGATCTCTGAACTTTTCCAACTTTCTACTTTAGCCACTAAACTTTCAAAAATTATGTTTTGACCATTAACCAAAATTTGGGATATTACAGGAGACTTCCTAGAGAACTCAAGAAGAGGAGACTATGGAAATAACATGTTTTCATCTTTCAGAGGAGTTGCAATTGATGATAAGAGTTCACCAAATGGTCTTCACCTACTGATAAAAGACTATCCATATGCCATTGATGGACTCTAGATTTGGTTCGCAATCGAAAAATGGGTGACTGATTATTGTTCGTTCTACTACAAGACCGACGAAATGGTTCAACAAGACTCCTAGCTTCAATCCTGGTGGAAAGAAGTCCGAGAGAAGGGGTTTTGCAACAAGAAAGACGAGCCATGGTGGCCTAAAATGCAGACTCGACAAGAGCTGATCGATTCATGCACCATTATCATATGGATAGCTTCGGCTCTCCATGCTGCAATTAACTTTGGCCAATATCCTTATGCAGGCTACCTCCCGAACCGACCAACTATAAGTCATCGGTTCATGCCCGAAGAAGGAACTCCGGAGTACGTGGAACTTGAGTCGAACCCCGAAAAGATGTTATTGAAAACAATAACTGCTCAACTGCAGACACTCCTTGGAATCTCCTTGATAGAAATCCTGTCAAGTCATTCATCGGATGAAGTTTATCTGGGGCAAAGAGACTGAATGGACATCGGATGAAAAACCGGTTGCGGCGTTTGATGAATTCGGAGAACGTCTTTCGGGGATAGAGGAACGGATTGTAGAGATGAACAACGACAAGCTATTGAAGAACCGTGTTGGTCAGGTCAATGTGCCGTACACGTTGTTGTATCCATCCAGTGAAGGAGGACTCAGGCAAGGGAATTCCAAACAGTGTCTCAATCTGAGGCTTCTCTTCAAATTCTTTTAACAAAAATCTCTAAGTTATTTTATTTAATAATACCGTTTGTAAACAAATTAATGTTCACTTTTTTTTACAAACATGTCCACACACAGACTACAACATTAACCTTGTAATCTGAATTCCTGTTTTCTATTAGACCAAAACAGATTCTTCAAATAAATGTTTGTTAATACTACAACGAATAAAATTTTATAGATATCTTGTGTCTATATAATATTCTAAGAATTTTAATTAGTTAGTTTTTGTTTGATAAATCAATAATTTAAGCGATGAAAAAATTAAAAAATATATTGAAAAATAAGTGTTGACTTTGACTTATAAATTAGTATGATCTGTTTTTTCGTACGACATACAGACGTGTACAGAGCGACAGTATGCTCCGGCCGATGTGGCTCGAATTATCAAATGTTTTCATCATATGAATAAAGAAGTAGAGAATCTTGCAGTTGCAGGCCAAGTTTTCATCATACATCAATGTTTATGGATACAAGCTACAACTTACAAGATCTATTCAGCTACAAAGAAATAATGAAAACCTCAAGGGGCTAAGCAACTAACAAGATTGAATAATCCGCTTGAGTTCTTTAGCCACCTTGATCATTGTCGGCCTCTTCTCTCCATCATTGCAGGTGCATCTGCGGAAAAGTGTGGCCAAAACCCTCAACTGCTCTGCCTCGATCGATATTCTTGGATCCACAACATTACTGAAAGTTTAAACACAGTGCTGCTCATTAGCAGCCAGTACTTCGTGTTCCCTAATAACATCACTCGGCCTCTGTCCACTTAAAAGCTCAAGTAGAAGCATTCCAAAACAATAAACATCAGCCTTGTCTGTTAAATAACCGCTGGCCACATACTCGGGAGCCGAGTACCCTATTCTCCCTATAACAGCATCCTCCACATGTGATTTCCCTCGAGGAATAGATATGAATAGTGCAAAGCTAATGAATTTGGGGACATTGTTTGGATCCAACATGATACTTGAACACTTAACGTCGCGATGGATAACCGGTCTCGAGAAGGCGGTGTGAAGATACATCACTGCATTTGCTAAATCTACTGCTATTCTCAACCTGCATTTCCGTGGCAGTACTGATTCAATATTTTTTGTAGAGATACATTGGGAAAGGATTGCTTGGCCTGAGAATTCGTAAACTATACTTGGCTTCTGTGTCTCCAAGCAGCATCCTATGACCTTCAAAACATTCTTGTTTGTGATCCGATGACAATGTCTTTGTAAGCAAAATGTTGGCACAGATTGGAAACGGGAATAACATAATTCTTCACGAATATTGGACGTTCCTTTAAAGAGCCTTTGTACAATATATAGTCAGTATCTTGCGCGATGATCCGAGTAGAATCGTAGTTGTTCGTTGCTCTCAGGAGCTCTTCTGCGGAGAAATGACGGATTGGATTGGATCTGCCATCGCAAAAGGCAACAATTTCTTCTAATAAAGCCCCTCCGTTTTTTATGAAGTTGTTT